TTAAGTTTGTAGCTTCTTGCCGTCCTTTACAGAACGAGGTAAGTAAATATTGACAGAGAATTATAGCTGGCTGCCTTTCCCCTCTGGAACATGGAGAGTTGGCTCCTTTCCTGCTTTGCTGTATTACTTTGGGGCATTAGTGGAAGACTCCATTTTGCATTCCTCACAGCAGAGCATCTTTCCTCTAGTGGTTTATCTTTAGCTTTCAAGTAATCACACTTAGGCTGTGGTCTCAGCCTGGCTAAGGAGGTTGCCTATGTGGGGGGATTAGAAGAAGTTTCTGAAAGTACGGTGATGGGGCAGAGAAAGATTTTCTGGGATCAAAGGCTTCTGGAGGCTCTGAGTGTCTGATGGGATGAAGGGAAAGAAGAGAAAGGAAGGAACCATTTTCCTGGTTGGGGTATTAACATATGGTAAGTATGACCTCAGTTTATAAAGAGTTTGCAACCTTGATACTTAATGGAATTGGTTTTTTCCTTAATATTTATTATGTGCTATGTAAATACTGCCTTTTCAAGTCCTTTCTAAAATCTCTTGCACTTATTAATGATATCTTTTGCTTTCTAAAAAGAAAATCTTTTCACGTATCCAAAGGAAGAGTAGTAAACAAAAGATGCTAAATGCCCTCCATTCCTCTTAGCCCCCAAGGCTGAGACTCATATTCTACAGTTAACATATTGCTTTGCTTTTGAGCTGATTAAGGGCAGTTTAACTTAAGAGGGGAAATGACATGGGCTGGGGAGGGGGAACCAGAGGTCAGCTGTGCACAGTGAAGTTGAAAATGTGATGTTAAAGAAGCTATAATACATGGCCCATTGGCAGCCATTACACTGCAGGATTTTCTTTTTATTTTTCCGGTGCAGGTTCTGGAACTTGAACTCAGGACTTGGGCACTGTCCCTTAGCTTTTCTTTTTTTTTTCTTTTTCAGAGATAGCACTCTACCACTTGAGCCACAGCTCTACTTCCAGCTTTTTGGTGGTTAACTAGAGATAAGAGTCACAGACTTTCCTGCCTGGGCTGGCTTTGAATTGTGATCCTCTGATCTCAGCCTCCCGAGTAGCTAGGATTACAGGCATAAGCAACCAGTACCCAGTTTACGGTACTTTTATCTGTCAATCAAGATTGTTAGGAAATTAGGCTTTGGCTTGAATCACTTTCCACTAAGTTTTGCTAAATAATCCTAAGGTTGTAGTAGTCAAATGAACATAAACTAATACTTAGGGACAGCAATGGTGGTACATGTCTGTAATTCAGCCCTGGGAAGGTTGAGGCAAGAGAACTAAGCTTGAGGCTAGTCCGGGGCACATAGAAAGAGCTTGTCTTAAAAAACAAAAGTTGGTCCATTTGTAATAGCCCCACAAAAAATAAAATACCTAGGAATTAACTAAAGAAGTGAAGGACCTATATGATGAAAACTTTAAAATCTTGAAAAAGGAAATCAACACAGAACTTAAAAAATGGCAAAACCTCCCATGCTCCTGGATTGGAAAGATTAACATCGTGAAAATGGCAATACTTCCCAAGGCTATCTACAAATTCAACGCAATACCTATCCAAATTCCAACCTCATTCTTCAAGGAAATAGAAGAGGCAATCCAAAAATTCATATGGAACAATAAAAGACCCCGAATAGCAAAAACGCTCCTGAATGGAAAGAACACTGCTGGAGGAATATCAATACCAAACTTCAAACTCTATTATAAAGCCATAGTAATCAAAACAGCTTGGTATTGGCATAAGAACAGACCTCAGGACCAATGGAATAGAATTGAAAACCCAGAAATGAACCTACAGACCTACAGCCATCTAATCTTTGATAAGGGAGCTAAAACAATAGAATGGAAGAAAGACAACCTCTTCAGTAAATGGTGCTGACAAAATTGGTTAACTACATGTAGAAAACTTAAGCTAGATCCGTATATATCACCCTGCACCAGAATCAACTCCAAATGGATCAAAGACCTTGAACTCAAAGCGGACACTCTGAAAACATTACAGGATGGAATAGGAGAAACCCTAGGTCTCCTTGGCTCAGGCCGAAATTTTCTGAATAGAGACCCGGAAACACAACAAATCAAAGAAAGGTTGGACAAATGGGATTGCATAAGGTTGCAGAGCTTCTGCAGGGCAAATGACATAGCTAGCAAGATCAATAGAAAGCCCACGGATTGGGAGAAGATCTTTACTAGCCATACAACAGACAAGGGTCTCATATCTAAAATATACTTGGAACTCAAAAAATTAAACCCCCCAACAACAAATCCTCAAAGAAACAACTGCCCAATAAATAAGTGGGCGAAAGACTTAAAGAGAAACTTCTCTGAAGAAGAAAGAAGGATGGCCAATAGACACATGAAGAAATGCTCAACATCCCTAGCCATAAAAGAAATGCAAATCAAAACAACATTGAGATATCACCTCACTCCAGTTAGAACGGCAGAAATCAAGAACTCTAACAACAACAGATGCTGGAGGGGATGTGGACAGAAAGGAACCTTACTTCATTGTTGGTGGGAATATAAACTTGTTCAACCACTTTGGAAAGCAGTATGGAGGTTCCTCAAAAGACTTCACATAGAGCTCCCCTATGACCCAGCAATCCCACTTTTGGGCATTTACCCTAATGTTTACAAACAAGACCACACTAAAGCTACCAGCACAACTATGTTTATTGCAGCATTATTTACCATAGCTAAGATATGGAACCAACCCAGATGCCCCTCAGTAGATGAATGGATCAAGAAAATGTGGTATATATACACAATGGAATTCTATGCCTCCATCAGAAAGAATGACATTGCCCCATTTGTTAGGAAATGGAAAAACTTTGAAAAAATTATACTAAGTGAAGTAAGCCAGGCCCAAAGAAACGTAGGTTCCATGGTTTCCCTTATTTGTAATATCTAGTATATGTATGAGTTAAGCGGAAAAGGTCAGATAATGTGATGTCAGGTAAATGAACCCTTAGATGTGTATTTTAATGTTTTTTTTCTTTCATGCATGTGTTTCTAACACATTTATAAGATTATCTCTTTGTTGCTTTGTATGTCCCTCCCCCACAGTATAACCCCTGCTTTCACTATATTTGATGTCAGTATAACTTGTGGAGGAGATGGGGAAAAACCAGTTGTTTAAGGATACAGGTGGACCTGTTGCAACAATGAGAAGTACAAGTTGTCATGTCCAAAACGAGCTTTACAACGTTGGTGCGGGGGGGGGGGGGGGGGGGGAGGGGGAAGGAGAAGGATTGGGATTTGGGGGTGAGGGGGGAGGCTGGGAAGGGATGTGAAGGGTAAACAAAGGAGGAGGCTGCAATGCTTGGTAAGAAATGTACGCATTATCCTGCCCATGTAACTGTAACTCCTCTGTATAGTATGTTCACAAATAAAATTAAATTAAATTAAAAAAAAAAAAAGAATTAAAAAAAAAAAAAAAAAGTTGGGGGCTGGGAATGTGGCTTAGTGGTAGAGTGCTTGCCTAGCATGGATGAAGCCCTCTGGGTTCGACTCCTCAGTACCACCCAAACAGAAAGAGCCGGAAGTAGTGCTGTGGCTGAAGTGGTAGAGTGTCTAGCCTTGAGCACAGAAAGGCTCAGGGACAATGCCCAGGCCCTGAGTTCAAGCTCCAGGACTGACAAAACAACAGCAACAAAGGTTGGATATGTAACTCATATCGTATCCACCTAGACTGATCTATTCACAACACAGCTGAGCACCATGAACTTAAAAAAAGTAATTTAAGCCGCCAAAATAGATGCTGCCAAGCCTTTATTCACAGATGCATCCACTCAGGGCCTATCCACACTTATCTAGCAGATCTGGACATCTGGTTTCTAAACTGATCTGTGGGTTTTGGAAGCTGAAAATTAAAAGGAATAGCACAGTAATGGTACAATAAAGTAACAGCCAACACTTTTGACGGAGGAAGAAAGAAGATGGAAAGCCAGAAAGGAGGAGCTATAGTTACTGAAAACAGTGCCATGTTGTTTCATTTAGAATCAGGTGCATTGAATTCCCGGCAGGGATTTCTAGGGTGTGGGGTTGGAATCTGAAAGGTTTAACTATTGCTTTGGTGATCTTATATATTCGAGGGTGGGTGGAACACTTGATGACCCTGTTGATGATACCTAGTCATCAAGATGAGATACTACATTTATGTCTAGCAGAACAAAAAAAAAAATGCACAGACTAGCTCTTAAAATGTTCCCAATCAGAATGTTTAAGGCTCAATTTTGATGCCATGAGCATCAGGTCATCTCTTTGAAACACTTGGCTGTTCAGAGTCTTAGTCACTCAGAGATTGATGTGTTACAACATGGGAACAGCATATAGGTAGAAAATATTAATTTGTATTGTAAAAAAATCACAGTCACTTTATTAAGCAGTAAATTCTAATACCATTTTAAAATGGCTCTTTATGTTTATTGCTCAGCTGTAAAACTTGACTTTCCACTCTCCAGTAACACATCTGAACATCTGTACACATCGTGTCTGTACCTCTTCTTTGCAATTTATTATATTATTTCATTTGTTAAAGCTCATCTTCCTGAGTATAAAATATATCCTCATCTTCCTAGTGTCTAGTACATGGCAGGGATCCCAATAAATGTTTAGTGAATGACTAATAATTGAACAAGTTATACAAAGCTTTCTCATTAATCCATTACTACCATGCAGATACTTTTATACAATCCCCCTCTCCAGTTTTGATTAGGCACTAAAATCTTTATGGTATCTGAGCTACATTTGATGATTAGCATTGTTAGAACACTTGAATCACTTCCTTCGCCTTTGCTTTTTTTTCCCTCACTAGTAGAATTAAAGGATAGAAGCAAAACGAGCCATTATGGCATAGGGCAGGCTGTGAGCTTCTGATGAGTAATTTTTGTGGCAGGTATGCCCTGGATGGGGTCACTGTGACAAGGCTGGGGGCCCTGGAAACAGAAGCATGGCAACATGGAGAAGGGGCTCACCTGTACTCACTCTCTTGTGGGTCCCAGGTGACTGTGGAGGAGGTCATGACACCCACCACATACTTCTTCCTGCGCAGCATCTCAGAGCCCGCACTGCTGGAGCTCTTCCTGCGCTTCATCCTGCTGCACCAGCATGAGAACGTGCACATCCTGGACACGCTCACCAGCCGGATCAACACCCCGTTCCGGGTAAGGCAAGCTCCAGAGGAAGTGCCTTGCAACTCACCATCCATTTTTTTTTTTTTGTGAAACTGGATCATCTCTACTCTTCTTACTTTTCTTGTTTTTTCTCCTTTCTTTTTTCTTTCTGCAGCCATTAACTTCTTTCTGTTTGGGTAGAGATGAAGTATGTCATTTTCATTTTTTGGAGTCCTGCCAGGGAGGTGGCAGGCACTGCCACCTTTGATAGGAAGGACATTTTTCCTCCCCTGGCTTATGTTGGCCCTCTTTTTTTCTTGGGGGGGGGGCGGGTCCTGGGGCCTGAACTCTGGGCCTGGGCGCTGTCCCTCAGCTCTTCAGCTCAAGGCTAACACTCTACCACTTGAGTCACAGCGCCACTTCTGGCTTTTTTCTTATGTGGTGCTGAGGAATCGAACCCAGGGCCTCGAGCATGCAAGGCAAGTGCTCTACCACTGAGCCACCTTCCCAGCCCTTTGGCCCTCTCTTCTGTGCAACAAGCAGAACTCATTTCCAGAAGGGCAGAACTGTGTTAGGTGCAGGTAGAGAAAGAAAAGCAGTATATCAGGTTCAGTTGTTAGAGGTTATATTTATGTCCATGTGTTCTGAAGTGAAAGGCTGGGAAATTATGAGTTGAGGGCTGGTCACTTAGTTGGGAGTTCTGTTTTGAAAAATCCTCTTTAACACCACTAGTGCCACTCTCATATCCACACTCCCTACCAAAAGCAATCCCTATTGTAATAAAAAGTATTCTTTTAAAGGCAAGAATAACAACATACCTTTGGATTTATTGTATATATATTGTAATATGTTTAACCTAATAAGAGCATAAAGAGGGAGACCAGGAGAATAGTAGAAACCGTTCCATGTTTCACTGGAAATAATTTCGCATAACCCTAAAGTAGAATCTGATAAGTTAAATATTGGGAGCAACTGCTAAAGAAATTACTGAGGAAATAAAATCAGGAGCTAGATACATGGTGGTATGCGCCTATAGTCCTAGCACTTGGGAGACTGAAACAGTAGACTCAAAAGAATAGCAAGAATGGTACAGCACGACCCAGTCTCAACTGGAAATGTAGCTTAGTGATAGGGTGCTTGCCTAGCATGCATGAAGCCCTGTGTTCAATTCCTCAGTACCACATAAAAACAAAAAGCCAGAGGTGACACTATGGCTCAGTGGTAGAGTGCTAGCCTTGAGCAAAAGAAGCTCAGGGACAATCCCCAGGACTGACCAAAGAAAAACAAACAAAAAAAACCCAGTCTCGAAAGAAAAAGAGGCATGATAGGAGTGATAGTTAACTTGATACTCTGTCTAACCAGAGCAGTGATGTCCATTCTTCTCAAGTGTCTATGCAGCGTTCTCCAAGAGAGACAGGGGATACAACAGACTTAATGAACTTGAAAGGATCAAGATCACACAATGTATGTTCTCTGGTTACAGTGGATTTAAGGGTTGAAATGAAAAGCTATTGATAGGAATTTGGGAAATCCACAAATAGAAATTAAATAACACATTCCTAAGTAATTAGTAGGTCAAACAAGAAATCATCAGGAAAATGTGAATCTACTTTGATATACTACAACACTAATGAGCCTTTGAGGATATTGTACGAGGTAAAGAAAGCCAGTCACACAAGCATGAGCTGCTTGAACCCACTCATCAGAGTAGTTCATCTAAAGTAGTTAAGCTTGTAGAAGCAGAGTGGAATGGTTGTTTCCAGAGGCTGGCTGGTAAAGATAATGAGGAGTGGGTATTCAGTTAGTTTTGCTATAACTGTGTTACAGATCTGTTGCATGACAATGTGAATATATTTCTCCCTATTAAATGTGCTCTTAAAACTCATTGAGAAATTAAATTTCATAATATGTTTATCACAATTTTTAAAACAGAATAATTATAATTACCGCTTCACAGAATCTTCCAAATACAGAATAGGAAGGAACACACTCTAGTTCAGTTTATGAGCTCAGGGTGAGTCTAAAACCAGACAAAGATATTAGAAGGAAGGAAAAAAATCACTGTGGACTAATATTTCTTATGAATAAAGGCACATAAATTCTCACTAGTGAATAGAATTTAGAATATATGAAAACAATTATACTCTGATCAGATGAGAGTTAGCAAACTAGAATTACAAAGTTGGCTTAAAGTCTAAAAAATCAGCTAATATACTATATCATAGCAATAGGATGAAGGAAAAAATTATCTTTATATGAGAAGGTATAGAAAATGATAAACATATCAACAAACAAAGAATAGAGGGAACTTCTTCAACTCAATATCTAACATCTCTGAAAAACTCAGAGCTAATGTTCAAAACTATTCCCCTAAAAAATGAATAAGGTAAGAATGTCTGTACTCAACAGTTATATTCAATATGGTACTTGAAGTTCTAGTCAGGAAAATTAAGTAAGAAAACAAAATCATTCAGATAAGAAGAAAAACAATCTGCATTTGTGTATGACGAGATCTGTAATACAAAAAACTAAGGCGGAGTACATTAAAAACTATTAGAACTCACAATGAATTCAATAAGGTTGCAACATGGAAGATTAATGTAAAAAAATCAATGAAATTTCTATACAATAGCAGTAAGTAATCCAAAAATTAAGTTAAGAAGATGGTACTATTTATAATAACATAAAAGAATAAAATATTTAGGACGAAATGAAGTCCCAATATTGTTAATATAAGAACACTCTCCAAATTGATCTGGAGATTTAAAGCATTCCCTGTCTTTTCTGTCCTCTCTGCTGAAATTCATAAGCTGATTCCAAAATTCATATGGAAAAGTCAGAATTCTTAAGTCATACCACATACATATTTACTCCAGATGGGTCAAAGACCTGAATGTATGGGCAAAAACTATAAAACTCTTCAAATAACAACAACAACAACAATATAGGACTCAATCTTGTGGCCTGATGATAGTTTTCTAAGATATGACACCAAAATCATGATCAGCAAAAGAAAAAGCAGGTGCATTGGACATCAATCAGAAAAATGATGCACTTTTGTTTTTCCATGAACACCATCAACAAATTGAAAAGGTTACCCACAAAAGGATAGGAGAATTTTTTTTGAATCATGTATCTGATAAGGTACTTTTTACATAGAACAAAGAACTCAGTTATAGAAAGATATAATTGAGCCCCTTCCGCACTTGGCAATGATTTGTAGGATTCCTGGCAATAGGTAAGAAGGATACCTAACTGAGATTGGACAGAGGAGGTTTTGAATGGTAAGATTGTGAGGAATGATAGAAATATTTCCAAGAGGTGTTGATACCTAACCTAAGTCCTTGAGAATAAGTAGGAGGTGCATTTTGAAGAGATGGGAGAAGGAATTCCAGATAAAGGAACAGCACATACAATGACTTGGAATTGGTGGATATTCTGCTTCTGACTAACTAGAGGTTTATGACTTTCCTTGAACAAAAGAGATGTGTCAGGGCAGATCACTATTTCCTTACCACACCATTATGGATTTCATTGACCAGATTTGAAGCCCATCCTGTTCCAAGACAAACTAGTACTTACTCTCCTCTACGAAGAATGAGAGCCTAAATTACTTAAATGGACTGGAAGATTGATGAACACTTACTCTCAAAAGAGTACAATGGTTTTATAACATACCTTTGGGTATCACCACTATTTGGAAATTTGTTTTTTTCCTTGTGAAAATCAGAAATTGAAAGAATTTGTGGTTTTTTAAAAACGAACTTCTTTGAGAAGTACATTATCACACTCTAAGTGGTTTAGGAAATGGAACCAAGGAGAATATTTGTCCCCAAAGCCAAGAGAGAAGCTGAGAACTCTAAAAGACAGTTGGGCTAGGTTGCATTCTGTGAGATCTGGCCTATGAATAACCAAGGCCATATTTAAAAGATAAGAGAATAAATTACCAGAGGAGGAGGAGGAGGAAGAGGAGGGGGAAGGGGAGAGGGAGGAGGTGGTGGTACAGGGAACATGTTTCCTGGATCCTTAATGGCTGACACTGAGACTGGCATGTTTGTAGGATAATTCTGCACAGTGACATGCCCAGACACTGCCTTACCCCCTCCTACAGGAGAGCCCATATCCTCAGTACACATTCTCTCCGTCAGCAGTGTGTGTTTCATAAAACTGCTAGAGGAAAGAAAGCCATTTTATTTTGGAATTCTGACTTACTTGACAGTGGTGGGGATGAGGTTGTTGTTCCAGTATCTGAAATAGAATAATGTGTTCATGACTCCTCAGCTCTGTGTGGTGTCCCTGGCATTATTCAGAACTCTCATTGGTTTACATTGTGAAGACGTGATGCTCCAGCTAGTCTTAAGGTGAGTGACCTTTCCTCCTTCCTTTCTTTTTCTTTAAAGAACATTTTATTCTGTAGTACCACTTTTACTTTAGTGATACTAACTAAGTAGGCACCATGTTTCTACGAGTATTAAGAGTAGCAGTTGGATTTTTATGTGTGTATGTGTGTGTGTTGTTTTTTTTTTGGGTCCGGTCGTGGGGCCTGAACTCTGGGCCTGGGCGCTGTCCCTCAGCTCTTCAGCTCAAGGCTAGCGCTCTACCACTTGAGCCACAGCGCCACTTCCGACTTTTTTCTTTTTGCTTATGTGGTGCTGAGGACTCGAACCCAGGGCCTCAGTCATGCAAGGCAGGCGCTCTACCACTGAGCCCCCTTCCCAGCCCCTAATATTTGTGTTTTATCCCAGGGTTAAATTTAGTTTTATTATGAAAAGGGTTTTGGATAGTCATGCACATTATTTCATAAAAATGTTGCTGGAAATAATAGAGTATTGAAACATTTGGGAGGTATTATGAAATCTCATTCATACTGTGGCTAGCCTTCTTCATCCTGAAGGGGATTTATTAGGACTTTTTTCCCCCAAAATTGAATTCAATGTCTTTGATTTTTCCCCCCTTTGGCAATGGCATGTGTCCAGTGTGCACTCTCTTGTCTGTTTCAATTCAACCCACTAAATACATAAGGCAAGCTCTCAGGGTACAGTTTAGAAGGAAGTAAGGAGAGGCATAGATGACCTGAAAAGGACTCGAATTCAAGGTGGCAAAGCAGTTTCTCTCAGACGTACATGTGGGAAAGGTGACTTGAAGGGGCTGGGCTTGAAGGGGGGTATTGAAGATCAAGGTGAAGTGCTATTGGGATGATTTGGTAATTTAGATAAAAGATTCCTGGTACCAAATCCTGCCTTGGCCCAACTGTGCTGCTTCTTCCCATTCTAAAGGAAGTATCTATGATTTTGAGAGAAAGTGATGATCTCAGTGTTAGCTCAGGATTTGGCCCTGTCAGTTAGAGTTCTAGAAAGCACCAGGACTGACTGTGGTGCACTCTTCTTCCTTTTCACTGACTCTTGGAATCAACTTCAGTGAGCCTCCCGCCCACTCCCAACATTGCTGAAAATGCAGCCAGGCTGAAGCTTGGTCCCATGCTGAGAGGGACCTGGGACCCTTGCAATTACTATACCATGCCATGAGTGAGAATGGCCTCCCCTAGAACCAGCAGAAATACTTAGCTCCCTGGAGAAAGACTGTCTGCCAGTTCCGTTACTGGGGCCCACACCAAAATCTAACTATTGTATTTCCTGCCTTTTTTTCCTTTTTTCTTTTCTTTTGTTTTGTTTTATTTTGTGGGCTTGAACTCAGGGTCTGGGCTCTCTAATACTTTACCACTTTGAGCTACAGCACCACGTCTGATTTTCTGGGGGTTAATTGGAGGGAAGAGTTTTACGGACTTTCCTGCCTGGACTGGCTGTGAACCATGATCCTCTGATCTCAGCCTCCTGAGTTGCTAGGTTTACAGGCGTGAGCCACCAGCACCGGCCTATTTCATGATTTTGTTTCCTCCGTCTATAAATTGTGACATTGTTATGAGCAAAGCAGCAATCAGATTGAGACTTTCTCTCTCCTCAGATTTGACCAGAATTGTAAAGCAGTTTATGTGTGCATGCATACATACATACATATGTCATGTGTGCATGTGTGTTTCTCTCATTACTCTCTGTCATCACTGGTTGAGATAAAGAAATCATCACCTGTGAATGGTCTGTCCTGAGGAGGTGCTATTGTCCATAGGGGTAGTTGTGCTCCCTTGTCATAAAGATACTGATTAATCCTGTCCTTCACGGATTCCAGGGTGATTGTAGAGTGACTGTAGAGAGAATCATGGACACATACAAAATAGAAAGGAGATGCCAAGTTTTTCTCCTGCTATCTTTAATTCATAGGCCCAGCAAAACAGCTTTTAAGTACCTTTAATACTGACATGCCTTCCTTAGTGGGGATAAAGACAGATGAAGCAGAAAGGAAAGGAAGAGAGGATTTGGCTTCACTTAGTCCACTGTGGGGTTTTGACATGTAGGTGTAGATTACCTAGGGAAAGACATTCCAGGTAGGTGTGGAAGCATAGGAAGCTCTGGAAAACTAAAGGGGTATCAAAGGCCTTCTGGGAAGAGCAGGGGTAGCAGCAATGCCTAGGAACTGGTCAGAAATGCAAATTTTCAGCCTCCTACTAGAAACTCTGAAGATGTGCCCAAGTGAGGCATATTTTAACAAATATTCTAAAGGATTCTGATAGATGCAGTGCCAAGTATGAGAAGGACTGGTTCTGAAAAACGGTGCAGGGTAAGCATAGCATCCCACAAAAGGGAGCAATTAAGACGGGACAATTAAAAGGCAGCAATTGAGAAGGGGCTGGGAAGGTGGCTCAGTGGTAGAATGCTTGCTTTGCATGCATGAGGCCCTGGGTTTGATTCCCCAGCACCACATAAGTAGAAAAAGCCGGAAGTGGCACTGTGGCTCAAGTAGTAGAGCACTGACCTTAAGCTGAAGAGCTGAGGGACAGTCATTGGTTTTTTAATATAAGCAAATGCATATAGATATGGGCTTTGTATATACAAAGTGATTAAAAATGTGAATGGAGGCAAACAAGAAAGAAACAAGTAGACTCAGTCTCCTTTGTGACCTATATCCTCTATCTCTTTGAATCCCAATCCTAAACTTATTATTCTTTTTTCTAGATGAAGGGACCAAAATCCAAAGAGTTTAAAAATCTCAAGAATTGGGGGCTGGGCATGTGGCTTAGTGGTAGAGTGCTTGACTAGCATGCATGAAGCCCCGGATTTGATTCCTCAGTACCACATAAAGAGAAAAAGTGGTAGAGCACCTGCCTTGAGCACAGAGAGGCTAAAGAACACTGCCTAGGCCCTAGTTCAAGCTCCAGGACTTGAAAAAAAAACCCAAAATCGGAATAATTTTGGAAAAGTGTATACCCCCATCTATGGCAATTTCTCTAAAGAAAGACTGGGTGAATAATTAAACTAAGTATCCAGGTAGTTGAAACAAAATCACCTCGCTATGAGGAAAGGGATTGGGAGTGAAAACAGTGCTGATTTATTTATTACACATTTCCTTTTTTTCCTGAATTATTCCAGATGACTACATCGATTGATTGGATTTGTATGCATCGAGTGCCCTTAAGAAATTTTATAGGTAGGGCCTCAACAGAACAACAAATGGGATCCTCCTGAGCAGGAAGGCAGAGACAGACACAAAAGATGATATTGCTGCATTATTTGGCCTCTATGGAATAAGCCATGAGGAGCCTCAGGAAAATCGATTATTGATGTGGTATAATAAAGTGAGCTTTCTTTTCCTCTGGTCAACTCATGGTTTATTTTGTATAAACTGCTATGAAACATTGCCACTAAAGGTTGCTTTTCAGCACAAGGGAGCTGTATAGGATTTCACATGGGGTCTTTTCGCTGTTTGGCAAGAGCCTCTCATGTTTTCTCAGTGAGGGTGCTGTCACGTCATCACTTGATTTCTCATCAACATGGAAGCATTGGATTCAGGGCTATTTCCTTTTCCCCTCCACTCCTCTCTTGTCCTGTACTTTTAGTTCTCTTCAAGTTTCAAGGGATTCCTGCTTAGTTTCTGCTTCTATATTTCAGTTATTCCATCTCTTTCTTCACTGTTTATCTTTGCTTGCTTGTTAAAAAATACTCTTTAATTGTACTACAGTTGAGAAAAGATATCTATTTAAGATAAAGTAGTAGTTTTCTTTAAAGGGCTGACTGTACTTTGAAGATATATTTAAAATCCACAGCCCTGTTCTCTTATTGTTCACACACCTGCAAAGTTCATGGCAAGTTGGTATGAAACATCAGGACAAACAAACTCAAAAGTCCAAATGAAGAAATTTTTTAATGTAGACTACCAATTAAATAAGAATAATTGATCAGTTTTGGATGAAAAATGATCAATACAGATGAATAATTTTAGTAACGCTCTTCTGCAGATACATTACATAATGTTTGATTTGTATTCTGTTTTGCATTTGGTTAACACTGATCTTTTTAACTGGTATAACTTAATTGGACAAGAAGGTTTCCTTGTATTTCTACATATGTATAAATTGCACTTGGGCCGAATTTGTACCCCTTTTCCTGAACTCCCTTTCCTCCTCCCCCTCCACCTTTTTTCTGAAGTTTCTAGTGGGCCTTATCATATTAATTTTATATATGCCACACTTCAATCACATTCTTCTCCATCATCTTTCCCTCCCCTTCCAACTAGTTCCACCCCTAAAGTCTCCCTCTTTGACAATTGTATAGTATTATTATTACTAACCATAATAGCAATCATATTTAGACCAAGATAGGGGAAAGATGGCATTTGTCTTTCTGAACTTACCTCATTCAGGATGGCCATCACCAGTTCCTCCCATTCTTTCCTGTGAATGACATAATTTCATTCTTCTTTATAGCTGGGTTACACTTCATTATGATTATTAGAGGGTTTGATTTCTCCACTCAGTAGTTGGGCACAATGATTGATTTCATGGCTTGGCTCTCTCGAATAGAGTGGAAGTAACTTAGGTGTATCTCTATTGTGTCGATTTATATGCCTTTGGTTATATGCCCAGGAGTTGAAGACAGGGATTCCATTATAGTTCTATCTTCAGTTGTTGTTTTTTTTTTTTTTTAAGAAACCTCCATACTTACTTCCATAGTGCCTGCACTAATTTACATCCCCCACCAGCAGTATATCAGGGCTCCTTTTTGTTTTTGGCCTGAATCCTCACCAGGACTTGTTTTATAATGATTCTCATTCTGGAGGGGAAAGATGGCATCTCATAGTGGCTGTGATTTGCATGTCCTTTATGGCTATGGATGCATTTAGTTGCCATTTGTCCACATTTTTAGAACTGTCTAAATTAAAGTCATTGGTCCACTGACAGGTTTATTCGGCTTTTGTTGCTTACAGATTTTAGCTCTTTATATATTCTGGATATATAAATCACTTGCAAACGTTTT